AGACATCAGGACAATTCACACAGTTACCATCGAGGTCATAGACATCAGCACAGTTACCATCGAGGTCATAGACATCAGGACAATACACACAGTTACCATCGAGGTCATAGACATCAGGACAATTCACACAGTTACCATCGAGGTCATAGACATCAGGACAATTCACACAGTTACCATCGAGGTCATAGACATCAGGACAATTCACACAGTAACCATCGAGGTCATAGACATCAGGACTGTTCACACAGTTTCCATCGAGGTCATAGACATCAGGACAATTCACACAGTTACCATTCATCTGTTGGTTTTAATCTGGAGCCATTCAAAATTGTAACCGAATCTAATAAGTACGATTCGTCAACTATGCACCAGGTGAGAGCAACTCCACGTTGGTGGTTCAAGGCTTCGGCAGAAAGTTCATCGGTGTGGATGCAGGAGGGACAATAGAAGTACATGGAGAGGAGAAACCATCCTGGACTAAACTGATAAAAACGGCATACTCGCCCACTGATGGATGTGAAAATCTCTTCAACTTTCAGGTTAGTTTGGCCCATCTCAAATACTTGCCCCTTCATCCGTCGACACGGGTTCGAAACTCCCTCTCACTGATCATGTTGTTGGAGTATTGCGTTAGAATTGGTCTTCAGCAACCCATGCTCGTCGTAAGAGGCGACTAACGGGATCGGGTGGACAGGCTCGCTGACTGGGTTGACACAAGTCATCGTATCCCATATACGTAGATCGATGTTCATGCTGTTGATCACTGGATTGTCTGGTCCAGACTCGGTTATTTACAGACCTCCACCATATAGTTGGAATACTGCTGAGTGCGGCGTAAAACAACAACCAACCAACCAGCCACAAGGTCCATCTATCCTGCTCACCTCGTTGACATCTCTTCTCTCTTCAGTACTGATGCAACTCATGCTGCGTTCATGGAAAATTTGTGAAGTCAATTTGTCCAAAATCCATGTGAAAACGTCTTGGAATTTAATTGAAGCTATAATTATGAAGCCATAGACACACATTTTCAAACGTGTGCACATTATGGATCATGTTAACATAAGGTGATTGAAGTTTGTGTTCCCCACAGCTTATATATACTCTCCACATTTATTGTACCAATTAAAACCGCTCACAAGTTGCAGATGTCTTGTATACGTTATTCAACACAGCAATAGTTTATGAAAGTTTATCTGTTACTAGTGTTTCCATGGAAGTATAGCGCTGTGTCTGCACGTTATTTTCTTCAGTGTTCGATATTTCACATTTATCTGCTGACTTCTTAACTGTTGTGGCGTTTTAGCTTGGACAACTTTTGCCTGATCTGTTTGAGCTTTTAATGTCGATAAATATCCTTAACTTACTCATAAAGTCGCCGACATGCACCGCTATAAACAGCTGGGTAATGCTGCTATGTTACAGCTTGGTAATATGCTATGTTACAGCTTGGTAATGTTGCTATATTACAGCTTGGTAATGTTGCTATGTTACAGCTTGTAATGTCGATAAATATCCTTAACTTACTCATAAAGTCGCCGACATGCACCGCTATAAACAGCTGGGTAATGCTGCTATGTTACAGCTTGGTAATATGCTATGTTACAGCTTGGTAAAATGTTGCTATATTACAGCTTGGTAATGTTGCTATGTTACAGCTGGGTAGTGTTGTTATGTTACAGCTTGGTAGAGTTGCTATGTTACAATTTGGAAATGTTGCTATGTTACAGCTTGGTAATGCTGCTATGTTACAGCTTGGCAATGTTGCTATGTTACAGCTTGGTAATGTTGCTATGTTACAGCTTGGTAATGTTGCTATGCTACAGCTTGGTATTGTTGCTATGTTACAGCTTGGCAATGTTGCTATGTTACAGCTTGGCAATGTTCCTATGTTACAGCTTGGTAATGTTGCTATGTAACAGCTTGGTAATGATGCTATGTTACAGCTTGGTAGTGCTGCTATGTTACAGCTTGGTAATGCTGCTATGTTACAGCTTGGATATGTTGCTATGTTAAAGCTGGCTTTTGTTGCTATGTTACAGCTTGGTAATGCTGCTATGTTACAGCTTGGATATGTTGCTATGTTAAAACTGGCTTTTGTTGCTATGTTACAGCTTGGTATTGTTGCTATGTTACAGTTTGGTATTGTTGCTATGTTACAGTTTGGTAGTGTTGCTATGTTACAGCACAGTGAGTTTAACAAAGAGGAGGGCGAAGGCTTGTACGTGACTGTCTTCAACGATGACGGATCTCTGTGGGACTTTGCGTTGTTCAGAACAGGCGATGGCGTTGATGTCGAGGACATCAAGTTCAGAGATTTTGTCACTGGTATGTTTGATCAACATTAAACCAAAAATGGACCAAAAATCAGCTCTCTCAGAGCACATTGTCAAAAACCCTACTCACTGCATTGACTGGCAACAATCAACTGTTTTGACCACTAATGTCCATGATTGGCGCAAGCGCAAACTATTAGTCTTTAACGATAAGACAATTACAACCGCATCTGAAGAGGGATCAAGGAGTTTACCTGCACAGTGCCTGGGAAGTCAATCAATCACTGCCTTCCACCCACATCTGCTTATCACTTGTATAAACTCTTCCCTTGTATAAACATACCCTTTATCTGTACTTATCACTCTTTTATCTCCCGTTTCTTATCCAATTTATTGTATATACACGCAACACTGGCTTCTTGTACATTTAGTATAGATGTATCTTGCTTGTTACAATTCACCTGACGAAGGGGCAAGGAATAGCCCAGAAACGTTGTGACATACAATAAAGAAGAAGTTGTCATCCATAATATTTGCGTTTTACTTGAATACCAACTTCTACATGCCTCTCAAGAACCTCATGTTAAACCAATTATGACAGGTAAAACGAAGCCAGATTCATTAATGCACCTTCTTCTAACATTGTAGACACGGTATTTACTGTGCCGTATCTTCACCCAGACTGCTAAATGATCGGGCACGAGAAATTCTGGAAGCAGTTATTTTGGCACTTTCATTGATTTATTAGTGTAGATATGTTCCTGAGCTGTTTGTGTGAGAGAGCGTTTCATTGAAAATCGTGACGGTAAGTGGGGAAATTCCACCACAAAGGGTGTAGAGTTCTAGTTTTCTTTTCCAAAAATCGAATTGAAAACAAATGTCAATTCCTCAAATTTTAGTCCTCATGATAATATGTTGAATATGACGATATTGAAGTGTGAAGACGTTAAATTTTGAAGATTGACATTTTGTTTGACCTTCTACGTCATTAAATCTAGTGTGTGAGACACTCTCACCGCAAAACTCACCCATGTGCCTCTCAGTCACCCATGTGCTTCTCAGGTATCCAACTAGAGTTACCCGACTTGCCTTAGCCTCAGGTAACTGAATCACCTCATAAATCTCTCTCTCTCTCTCTCTTTCTGATATTTTCACATTGTCATAACAAAAAAATCTCTTTCTTACTTTTAAACGCATACATGCACATTTTTATACATACATTAACTCACAAATTCACAATTTGATACTAAATACTTACACTTTGCATACAAACTTAGTACACATATCTTTTGTACTTAATACTTATACACTCACTCTTGCTACTTAAATGCAAACACTCTATCCATTCATACCAATTTACATACAAACAAAAAATAACCTGTTACCTGAACACTACAAAGGGTACTGTTCGTATGATGATGCATTATCATGGGGATTTTTTATGTATTTGTAAATTGCAGTGGCATGGCGGCACTCAATTTCTGTGGACGTACCACTGTGACGAAAGTGGAACGACTGTTGTGGTTTATAATTAATCCTATACTTCTAAGTATCAGGCATGTGTGACCCAACAGTCCAATCACTATGGACATCGGATGTTTGAAGGATCTTAACTCGCCCCCAAAATGATCCTAGTTTTGTGGTCTGGTGTCGTGTTCAACACACAGACTTGACTACCTTTCAAGCGCGAAGACGCGTACTAATGTGGAAAATAGACGGAAATACTACAAACGCGACATTAAAATAACCACCCTCGTATTTCATCATGAACATTTATGTTTTCCCCCAGAAATCCCAGATGGCAAGATTCTGGCAGTAGCCATTCAAGGAGGACTTGGGACTGGGGACATGAGCGCAGTGTATGAAACCCTGGAGTCTGCTGGGGGGCTGACGTCATCAGCCATCCGGGCAGTTACTGGCAGACAGGCTTATGCTTTCATAACGAAAACAGGTATGTCGGGACAGCTGCGACAACGGTAGTGATTACTCTGACAGATACCACTACACAGATACCACTGCGACATGCCTAGATGCTGATTACCCCCACACAGGTGGTGAATACATAAAGATAGTGATTACATCGACACAGGTAGGTAAAGATTAATATTACGACGACACAGTTAGGTAGAGATTACGACGACATAAGTAGGCAATTACACAACATTGTGGTGGGGAATGATTACTGACACAGGTAGATAATGGTAGAAATAAATGTTTTAATGGCCCGCGACGAAACACCAACGTTTCTGCCAGACTAGTGGTTTACACATCCATTACGAGGATGTGTGAAGCCAATTTCTGGTTTGGAATGTTGTACTTGGAATAACTGAGCCAAGTTTACACACCCTAGAGCCTATTTGTCCTTTTCCGTGAACGGTATGACGTCTCTATTAGAAACGCGTAATTTATTTTGATTAATATTTCCATAAGGTTATAAATGTTAATTTTCATGCATGAATCTACAGATCTGCGGAGTTTCTAGGTCATTAAAAGCGGGTCGAACAGGCATCGGCTAGTCAGTCTCTGTAAAACTGATAAGTGATGATGTGTGATGTCAAGCATGCCGCCAATGTCTGGTTTGACCTGATTTAGCTTATTGATATATCAGTGCAATATTGGTGACTGGTGCATTGAAGCAGCAAACATGTACCCGCAAATGATTAACACTCATGTTGGCTAAAACAGAAAACATGGCTTAATTGTTGGAGTATTTGCAGGTGATGCTAGTACAACACGGGAGAAACGCGTCTCCAACCCAAGTACCGGCGGATACAGAGAGACTGGGTATCTGTCTCTAGACGATAACGGCTACCAGTTCAGGGTCATCAGCAAAGTCTTTATAGACCCAGCAATGGCGAAAGGTGTCAACTTCATGTCCCTGCCTCAAGAAGCACAGGTTCCCTGTATCACTGTCAACACGGACGTATCGATGTGGAGACCAGGTGGGCTGTGTGAATGTGAGACTGAACCAGCAATAATCAGAGAGACATTCTGAACTACCTGTTGTAAAGAAACATACTGCTTGGTCGACATAGTTTAGGAACGTCCATGACTAAACTAGCAGAAGCTGCAGCCATTTGAAAGAAAGAAATTCAGTGTTTGAGAACGATTTTCCGTAATTGACAACTCCTTTGAAGTAGAATTGGGCTGATCCTTACCTAAATATTTCCTGATGTGTTTTGTACATTTTGAATCATGGTATATTTTGTTCCGATTTCTTTTAAAACAAATTTGTTTTGCAGGAGACAAAGTCGTGATAGCTTCCACCGATTTCGACTGGAGACAGGCTGAAGAAATGACCATCAAGAGTTGTCCTTCCTGTGCCGTCAACGAGATCTGTTTCACGGGTATGTAAAAATCACTTATTACGAGAATGTATTGGGGTATTTATCATCCAGACCTCGTCTATCATGCGAACAAGACTACGTATGTTCTCAAGACTGGACAACAAGATAAATAGCAACATCCTTTACGTTCAAAGACATAGTCGCATTAAAGGAATATTACAGAGTACAACGTTTCCCACTGGTATCAGGTACAGTTAGGTATGGTGCTAATACTCATTACAGTTGAAGGTCACATAAAGTTTATAAATTTGGATGTGGTACACTTAACTACTTAAGGCGGACAATAACCCAGAAGATAAGCCCCAACAATCTCCCCGCCTCTAACTGCCCGTATAGGAAATCTGCACAACTGTCAGCACAGCACAGACCCCATAACTCTTCGTGTATTTACTTGGCATTGTACTGCCACATCAGTGGCCAAACCTCCGTCCCGGCCACAGACCTTTTGACAGTTGCCAAAACTCTGTTTCGATGGCCGAATATACCTTAACCCTGTCAAACAACTTCCGGCTGATATAATAGGTCACGTGTCACCATCGTATGGGGAAACGATGCGTTCGGGACAACGTTCTGCGAGTTATGAGTTTACAATGAACTATTGACATTGTTATTCATGGCAAAATTATGTTCTTCCAGAACCTCTGCAATACACTCACTATGGGGAGGTAACTCTTGGTGTTGACGAGAGGGCGGAAGTGGGATTGCTGAGTCGGAACATTGTCATAGAGGGCGTGATACCAGAAGAGGGCTGCAGTATCAACGAGCCGGAAGATCAGTACCTCTGTGACCTCTTTGGATATGACACTTTTGGAGGCCATATCAAGGTGGGTAGTTTAGGTACCTACTGTGACTACATTTCAAGAATTATTTACGTTTAAAAATGTGTGGCGTAGTTCCACATTTACCTAATTTCCTACTAGGTTCCTAATAACCTATGGGTTATTTTATGAAAGCTCCAGGAAGCTTTGGAAGTGTATTTCTATTTGTGCGGAGAATATGCATTTGTCCAATAACCCCATTCGCTTTCTGTAAATTTTAGGACTTATTTAGCGATACATAATTATCTTTACATGTGTACATATTGTTCCAGATTGTGAGAGATTTTGCAGCTGCCCATATCCAAGGCGTGGAGTTATTTCACATGGGACAACAACGGTTTCCTGGTACGGAAGTGAATCTTGTATACCAGATACATACCCACATATCCATATTCGTATAGAAAGACAATAACCGGCCGAATTTAAATAACGCTGTTTATAAAATTGTTTAATTGGACCAAATGTAATAGAAACGTTGTCTGTGTTAGGTTCTTACCCACTCCATTTCCACATGTGCGACAACGCCGACGGCAACGGTTTCCAGCACAACTCCCTGCACCACTGTCTCGCTAGATGCGTCACCATACACGGCACAGACGGAGCGGAGGTCAGTACAATCACCCGTCTGCTGCTAAGATACAGGAAGACACATACTGCACTCTATGTTCAGAGCGCTTTACTTGTGTGAGGAATGGCATTCTTGTGTTATTCCTGGTCTATTCTTTACACCGGGTGTATCACAATGTGTTTACATTTTCACTACACTGAACGTCTCACGGCAAGTGTTATCTACGTTGTCTTAATACACGGTGTCCCACAGATCGTTATCTCTTTACGTCTTGACACCAGGTGTCTCACAATGTGTGCTATCTGCACCACGGTCACGGCTTCTTCCTGGAGGACAGCGCAGAGCAGAGGAACATCTTCGACAGCAACCTTTGTATCGGCACCATGCACGGCACCCATATCCTGTCCGACATGAAGAAGGAATGGTGCAATTCTACAATGAGACCTTTTTGCGAGTAAATATGTTGTTCTTCTTGATATGCCATAATAAGACTTAGACCAGGTCCACGCAACACGACACTTATCACCAGACTTAGACCAGGTCCACGCAACACGACACTTATAACCAGACTTAGACCAGGTCCACGCAACACGACACTTATAACCAGACTTAGACCAGGTCCACGCAACACGACACTTATCACCAGACTTAGACCAGGTCCACGCAACACGACACTTATAACTAGGCTTAGACCAGGTCCACGCAACACGACACTTATAACCAGACTTAGACCAGGTCCACGCAACACGACACTTATAACTAGGCTTAGACCAGGTCCACGCAACACGACACTTATAACCAGACTTAGACCAGGTCCACGCAACACGACACTTATAACTAGGCTTAGACCAAATCCACGCAACACAACACTTATAACCAGGCTTAGACCAGGTCCACACAACACGACACTTATAACTAGGCTTAGACCAGGTCCACGCAATACGACACTTATAACCAGACTTAGACCAGGTCCACGCAACACGACACTTATAACTAGGCTTAGACCAGGTCCACGCAACACGACACTTATAACTAGGCTTAGACCAGGTCCACGCAACACGACACTTATAGCCAGACTTAGACCAGGTCCACGCAACACGACACTTATAACCAGACTTAGACCAGGTCCACGCAACACGACACTTATAACCAGACTTAGACCAGGTCCACGCAACACGACACTTATAACTAGGCTTAGACCAGGTCCACGCAACACGACACTTATAACTAGCCTTAGACCAGGTCCATGCAACACGACACTTATAACTAGGCTTAGACCAGGTCCACGCAACACAACACTTATAACTAGCCTTAGACCAGGTCCACGCAACACGACACTTATAACCAGACTTAGACCAGGTCCACGCAACACGACACTTATAACTAGCCTTAGACCAGGTCCACGCAACATGACACTTATAACTAGCCTTAGACCAGGTCCATGCAACACCTATTAACTTATAACTAGGCTTAGACCAGGTCCACGCAACACAACACTTATAACTAGCCTTAGACCAGGTCCACGCAACACGACACTTATAACTAGCCTTAGACCAGGTCGACGCAACACGACACTTATAACCAGACTTAGACCAGGTCCACGCAACACGACACTTATAACTAGCCTTAGACCAGGTCCACGCAACACGACACTTATAACTAGGCTTAGACCAGGTCCACGCAACACAACACTTATAACTAGGCTTAGACCAGGTCCACGCAACACGACACTTATAACTAGGCTTAGACCAGGTCCGCATAACCACGACACTTATAACTTTAGACCAGACCAGAGGCTTAGACCAGTCCACGCAACACGACACTTATAACCAGGCTTAGACCAGGTCCACGCAACACGACACTTATAACTAGGCTTAGACCAGGTCCACGCAACACGACACTTATAACCAGGCTTAGACCAGGTCCACGCAACACGACACTTATAACTAGGCTTAGACCAGGTCCACGCAACACGACACTTATAACTAGGCTTAGACCAGGTCCACGCAACACGACACTTATAACCAGGCTTAGACCAGGTCCACGCAACACACGACACTTATAACCAGACTTAGACCAGGTCCACGCAACACCACGACATTTATAACTAGACTTATGGACCAGGTCCACTAACCACGACCTTAGACCAGGTCCACGCAACACGACACTTATAACTAGGCTTAGACCAGGTCCACGCAACACGACACTTATAACTAGCCTTAGACCAGGTCCACGCAACACGACACTTATAACTAGACTTAGACCAGGTCCACGCAACACGACACTTATAACTACTTAGACCAGGTCCACGCTAAAACATGACACTTATAACTAGGCTTAGACCAGGTCCGCAACAGCCATTAACTATTCTTATAACCTGCTAACACCGGCCTTAGACCAGGTCCACGCCAACACGACACTTATAACTTGGAGCCAGGTCCACGCTAACACCCATTACCCTTATAACCCTTAGACCAGGTCCACGCAACACACGACACTTATAACTAGCCTTAGACCAGGTCCACAACACGACATAACTAGGCTTAGACCAGGTCCACGCAACACAACACTTATAACTAGGCTTAGACCAGGTCCACGCAACACCACACTTATAACTAGGCTTAGACCAGGTCCACGCAACACCGACACTTATAACCAGACTTAGACCAGGTCGACGCAACACTACGACACTTATAACTAGGCTTAGACCAGGTCCACGCGAACACGACACTTATAACCAGGCTTAGACCAGGTCCACGCAATACGACACTTATAACTAGGCTTAGACCAGGTCCGCAGCATAACCACGACACTTATAACCAGGCTTAGACCAGGTCCACGCAACACCACGACACTTATAACCAGACTTAGACCAGGTCTACGCAACACAACACTTATAACTAGGCTTAGACCAGGTCCACGCAACACGACACTTATAACTAGGCTTAGACCAGGTCCACGCAAACCACGACACTTATAACCAGACTTAAACCAGGTCGACGCTTAACACGACACTTATAACTAGGCTTAGACCAGGTCCACGCCAACCACGACACTTATAACCAGGCTTAGACCAGGTCCACGCAACATGACACTTATAACTAGGCTTAGACCAGGTCCACGCAACACGACACTTATAACCAGGCTTAGACCAGGTCCACGCAACACGACACTTATAACCAGACTTAGACCAGGTCTACGCAATACGACACTTATAACTAGGCTTAGACCAGGTCCACGCCAACACCCGACACTTATAACTAGGCTTAGACCAGGTCCACGCAACACGACACTTATAACCAGGCTTAGACCAGGTCCACGCAACACGACACTTATAACTAGGCTTAGACCAGGTCCACGCAACACGACACTTATAACTAGGCTTAGACCAGGTCCACGCAACACGACACTTATAACCAGACTTAGACCAGGTCCACGCAACACAACACTTATAACTAGCCTTAGACCAGGTCCACGCAACATGACACTTATCACCAGGCTTAGACCAGGTCCACGCAACATGACACTTATCACCAGGCTTAGACCAGGTCCACGCAACATGACACTTATAACCAGGCTTAGACCAGGTCCACGCAACACGACACTTATAACTAGACTTAGACCAGGTCCACGCAACATGACACTTATCACCAGGCTTAGACCAGGTCCACGTGATATGATACAAATAACTACGTTTCGACAAGGTCCACGTGATATGACACACTTAACTACGTGTAGACCAGGTCAAGGTGACATGCCAAGAATAGTTACGTTTAGACATTATCCACTTGACATGACATAAATCACCTGGCTCAGACCAAGTCCTCGTGATATGACGTTTAGACAAGGTCCAGGTAACTTCACACACGTAACCAGGTGAACGTTATGTGACATATAAAGCAGGGCCTTTACCAAGTGCACATAATATGTAATCGGGTCTATACGTAAGGAGCGGACCCATGCCCGAAACCACTGACTGATATCTGTGTTGCAATCTTGCAATGCAGGACCACATATCATTAGTATAGTAGTGTTGGAGCCCCAACATTTGAGTGTTGTACAGAAACGCGTCAATAGAACGCTCTTCTAACGTCATCTATACTCCCCCCAGCGCCCTCTCCTCCTACTGGATCACGCACCCCAACAACACCTTCATCAACAACGTGGCCGCCGGCTCAGATGTAAGTATACCATCACCGTGTCCATCCCGGAAAACCTTGTATTGTAAGGACGAAAATCCTGCAATGTCCAGGATGGGAAACGAAATATAAAGAGGGCTTTTTACATTCCATGTTAAATAACTGAGGACCTTAAAACTTCTCAATGAAACCATATCTATTTTTCATATTGTTATCCTTTATAAATCTATGATGTAATGGTGAACTTGGATCTTACATTACGAATGACACGTTAGTAGGGTCAGACATGATTTTCTTCAGATGAACTCAGATGAATTTGGCATAAACACAGTTATCTGAGTTATACTGGTATTTTCTCAGCATACGGGATTCTGGATCCTTGCGTCTCGTTTCCCCCTCGGCCCCTCCCGACAACGCCAGCTGGAGAGGGGGTTGGTGCCAGAGTTCCATGCCATGCAGACAAAGATCAAGGAATTCAGAAACAACACGGCTCACTCTAATGCCCTGGTAGGCTCGACGTTCCCCTTAGTTACTCCATGTCCACAAAACAACCTCAGCTCTACTACTAAGTCATGTTAACATCATGCTAAGATCGCGTATGAATATCGAGACGCAGAGAATGTTTGTTGTTTTAATGGATTTCCGACGTCAAGTAGTATGAATGTGTCGGCTTGACGAACAATTCAAACTTTCAGGATAACATTAATGTTGGTCTGGGCATCTATATCACATTATATCATATTTCTTATCGCATCTCTATCACATCTATAACACATCTCTATCACGCTTAAATTACGAGAATCTGTACTAAGTGAGTGAGTGAGTGAGTTTTAGTTTTACTCAGCAATATTCTAGCTATATGGCGGCGGTCTGTAAATAGTCGAGTCTGAACCAGACAATCCAGTGATCAACAGCAAGAGCATTGATCTACGCAATTGGGATACGATGACATGTGTCAACCGGGTCAGCGAGCCTGGCTAGCTATTCTCGAAACGTTCGTAGCCCTACGAACCTCTTAAGCCGATTCTTAACACATTGGCTACGATCAAAGTTAAGAATTCTTAGGGCTACGAACGTTTCGAGAATAAGGACCCTGATCACCCAATGCCGTTGGTCGCATCTTACGACAAGCATGGGTTACTGAAGATCAACTCTAACCCGGATCTTCACGGGTCCTGTACTAAGTAATCGGGTACGGATTAAAATTTAATGGATGATGTCACATTCCTGTCTTACACTGCAATCATATTGTAGTACCAGGAATGGTTGTTATGAAGTATTTTGATCTGTAGGCAGGGTTCAACATGGATGACGAGATATCTATCGGCGAAGTCTTCACCGACGGCTTTGTCCCAGAGAATGGCGTCGTCTCAGCACGGGTATCCCACTCTCCTCGGGACCCCCCTGGTGATCCGGACGCTGCGTTAGACAAGTCTCACCTGTACAGGTAACTCAAGACATATTCAAACGTTTATGAATGTATGTTATTGGCAGATTGATCCCAAACTCGTTTTACATCGCTGAACTATACAATCATCTTCAGCACATGATCCCGGAGTTGTTATAAGAATACCATTTATTATCCATATGGTGAAACATAACCAGTGTCATATATATCATTTATCATCAAAAACTGTGTTCCAAAGGAGATATTGCTTGTGTGAGATCAGATGTTATTATATAGGTAGTATTTTTCCTGTACCACGATTGGTCAAAAGACCGTCACATGATTGACTACAAAACACGATATTGACTTGAGTTTTCTGATAAATTACGATATTGACTTGGGTTACTAAAAATAGACAAGGAATCCCGTACGAAGGGGCTTCCCCCGCTTTTCAGCCAATCAGATCACTCGGATAGATGGCACAGTGTGTGCATTAAAAGTTTATGTTAAAACCCGTTTCTCTTTCATTATATAATAAAACAATTATAGACTCTTGTAGAGGTCGATATCGGTTTTTATTGACCTGAGAAAAACAATATCGACCTCGCAAGCTCGGTCGATATTGTTTTACTCAAGTCAATAAAAACCGATATCGACCTCTACAAGAGTCTATAATTGTATAATATCTCCTGGGAGATATCGTTTTGACAGTAGATTTTGTACAATGCCCTAACAATGCTATGACGTCATGAACTTGATGACGTCACAATGCTATGACATCTTCTGCTGTCAAATCTGCCATGAACATTTTTCATTGAAAACTAAAGAAGAATGATTTTTGATGATATTTCTGTCTTTCGTCGTCTGTTCGCTCGAGCAATACAAAACTTTTTTACACTCGTTTCGTATAAGTCGTATGACACACGTGCTCCTGTAATAATCCCTATGTAGTATCAGCTGTGCTAGGACTGATACAAACTGCGGTGTGAAGCCAAGCTTCCACTTTGGAGTCCATGGTACTATGTTATGTACTCAGGACATAAGTGATGTTCCTGTACGTAGTTCGACATACTTGTACATAATAATGATTCGCATCAAGTGTAGAAAGAAAGATAAAACCATGTAGGTAGTAAGTGAACATCTACATGAGACTTCTGATGTGCCCCTCCACGATAGAGTACATCTGTCAGTTGTTGGATTTGCTACTTATATACTATTCATCCCGTCCGCTCTCCTTTCTTTGTCAGCTTCACAGGCTACAAAAACAGAGAGTTGAATGTGTGGACGAAGGGGGGCACCACCATCATGGAGAGTTTCACGTAAGTAAACCTGTATTGGGGATCAATGTACACCACCCTTTACAACATAGCTGTATGACTTGTGAGCAGGTAACCCGTGAAGAACCGGGGTAGAATAGGTCTTCAGCAACCCATGCTTGCCACAAAAGGCGACTATGCTTGTCGTAAGAGGTGAATAACGGGATCGGGTGGTCAGGCTCGCTGACTTGCCATCGGTTCCCAATTGCGCAGATCGATGCTCATGGTGTTGATCACTGGATTGTCTGGTCCAGACTCGATTATTTACAGACCGCCGCCATATAGCTGGAATATTGCTGTGTGCGGCGTAAAATTAAACTCACTCACTCACTTGTGTTCCAGTGGTGTCGCGAGTGTTCAAGTTGTACGGCACTTTCAGCATTATATAGTTATATAGTTACCACTTCGGTAAAACCCAAGAGCACGGATACGGTTCTGAAAACCCACACAATTGATGAGGAATTTTGCAATCAGTGAGTGAGTTAATATTTAACGTCACATCGGCAATATTTGCAATTAGAGTTTTCTGGAACTCATAAAGCACGAAACGCCTTGCAATGAATCGCGGCGCCTAGGCGGCTGAATTACTTAATGATCACGAAGTTGCTTAATGATCACGAAGTACATTAAATGTCAGTTTAGCTCTGCAAAGTTAAAAGAAACCAAATGGGCCAACGGAATAATAAACTACAGGAACATATAGTATTATGTAACTTACTTACTAACTGAATGCTTCTCACCTGGTCTTACATCAGCCCCATATATACAGTACAACCAGAAATTATTGAGAATTTAAGATTGTAATTTTTTTTTTAAATTTCACTCATTACTCACGTATTAAATGTGAATATTAGCAGAACATAACTCCAGATTCAAAGACAGGTGAACAGTAAGTATTTTGTCAAGTCACCATGGGCAGCAATGCAGGCTTCATTGCGGCGGGGCATACTACTGATCAAAGATGTTAGAAAATCGTGGTCCATGCTGTCCCAATATCAGACCACCTCTTCTTTCATTTCAGCAATATTTGTCAGATTTTTCATATTGACACTTTCCCTCATAAATTCCCAAACACCTATGACAGTTCCCTAGTAGTAGGTGATCAATAGCATTATTTTCTATGTGACTTCTTTGATCTTCTTAGAACTCTACGAATGCATGAATTTTAGAATATGTTTACAGTGTATATATTGGCAAGAAGGTTTCCCAGAGCACACACACTTGAAATCTTATATACTAACCACTTTACAAATGAATGGAGTTCTAATGCCCACCATCCCCGAGTAATGTTAATTATGTATATTTGATCCCGTTGTGAATAAATTAACGGTCCAGGAATATTGATTCTCAGGACTAGTTGTGTAGATTAGAAATACTACTTATAAACGTAAGACCAGATATTTACATCTCAAAGCGGACATTGTCTCAGCGCCCTTCTAAGATGTCGCCAGCGCTAGACTGACAAAAGCAATATTTCAACTACCTACCACTGGAACAGGGGGTTTTGCTTGTCAGTGTTTCTGGAAACAAAAACACAACCATCAAATGACAACAATCAAGTAGAACGCTAACTAAAGGAAAGGTAAAATTTCAGTAAAGGAATATGTGCAGCACATGGTATGGAATTGAGTGAAAATTCTGTACATACAGTACAACCAGAAATTATTGAGAATTTAAAGATTGTAATTTTTTTATGTTTTTCACTCATTACTCACGTATTAAATGTGAATATTAGCAGAACATAACTCCAGATTCAAAGACAGGTGAACAGTTAGTATCTTGTCAAGTCACCATGGGCAGCAATGCAGGCTTCAATGCGGCGGGGCATACTACTGATCAAAGAAGTTAGAAAGTCGTGGTCCATGCTGTCCCAATATCAGACCACCTCTTCTTTCATTTCAGCAATATTTGTCAGATTTTTCTTATTGACACTTTCCTTCATAAGTCCCCAAACATTTTCTATTGGATTTAGGTCAGGGCTGTAGCTTGGCCAATCCAATAATGTCATATTGTGGGTCGAAACCAGGCCTGTGAATGCTTTAAACGATGTTTTGGGTCGTTGTCCTACTGGAAAATCAAAAAAATTCCATAGAACACGTGAGCACATGGAAGTAAATGTCCCTCGAGAATATCTGTGTACCGCTCACTGTTCACATTCCCTTCAAATACACAGAGGGGCGTTGCCCCAAACACAGATATGCCACCCCACACGTTGAATAATTTCAGTGTATTAGGAAACAGCCACACAGGACTTTCATCTGAGAAAAGCACATTGTCCCAGTTAAAATTTCTATGCTGTAAGCACCAGTTCAACCTTCGCTCCTTTTGTTCAGGTTTCATGATCGGTGATGGAATTCCTCGACTTTTCTGCCAACCCATTGCATGCAGCTCAGTTCTATTTGTCTCCTTACAGACAGTCACAGTTCCTCTATCAATCATATCCAGCCTTAAGTTTTCTAAACTCCAAGCGGCCTCCTGTCACCGACAGTCAATTTTGTGGGCCTACCTGCGCCTCCCTGGTGCTCAATGCCATATCCATTTGCAATATTTTTCAAGACACGATAAACAGTGGACAAAGTGATGCCTGTTCTACTTGAAATCACTTTAGCTGATCTGAAGTCCTTGTTATAATACTCTAAAATGAACTTTCTCTTCTCTAAATCATCCATACTGAGGATCACTGAAAATGTCGTCTGCTAGCAAGTGAACAAAGGGTGATAACTCTTCACAAACTAATGGAAAAGGATTAACGGAGTTGTCTCTCTTGAATGAAACCAAGCACTTGATAGCTGGTCAAGGTTGTTTATACTAGAAATCCAATTAAACATATTCCTAAAATTCTCAATAATTTCTGGTCATACTATACCTGATACAGTAGGCAGACACGGTAACTGATAACTAAAAGAAATACATACCAGATTTAACAATCAAAATCAATCAACCAATCTTCAATTTAGTATGTTCGCCGTGGTAATAACAAGTACCAAATCAAACAAGTGTTGAAACATGGCAAGTTGTTTCTTCCAGACTTGCAGACTCCCCGGTCGGCCTGACCATGTCGTGGGGGGAGAGCGACACCTACACACAGATCAACAACTCATTGTTTGTAGGGGAGACAGACAACAAGGGACTGCCTGTGGCACCGTTTGGTCGCTCGGTGGCCGTATCAAGGTAAGGTGGAAAGTCTACACAGTCCATTGTTGGTGCTCGGCTGGAGTGAGTTGGGTTTTAAGCCGCTTATAATAATATTCCAGCAATATCACGGCGGGGGACACCAGAAATAGGCTTCACACATTGTAGCCATGTGAGGAATCGAACCCGGGCCTTCGGCGCGACGAGCGAACGCTTCCTCGGTTGGGTCTGCTGGTAGGTGAATTTGCAAGCAGTGTTGATAATTTTAGTCACCTTCATGGCACTGAATCTCTGCAACTCGCCATAGTACAGCGGGACCCCTGCTGATTGGGGACTTCACAGCAGGGATAGACGCCACTGTAGACTGTACGAGTATACTAAAACAGAAACACAAAATAAAATTCAATTATAATTTTCAGTGACAAATCGTCATTCGCCTAATCTGATTCCATCCAAAATACTGAAAGATGGTGGTTAAATGCTCCACGGATCAAAATTGTTATATTTGCTGCAATACGATGATACAAATGACATAAATGAATGACAGACATTACATTCAAATAACATCTTTATCCTAGGAACCATTACTCAGTAGTTGCTAGGTACATATCTCCATCTTGCAGTTACAACCAGCCTAATAATACATCTTTACTGAACAGGACAAACTGTACAATGAGAAGCAAACTGTTACACCCCCATGTGCCCATGTTTCCAGCGTGGAACCACTCCAAGGTGTCACGTTCTACCAGGGTCCAGGCTATGTCACCAACTCATTCTTCGATAAGTACGTGACAAAGGTATCTGGGAGCAGCATCAGGTACGCCGGCGCCATCAGCGTCAAGCGCAGCAGCCACTACCCCGTTAGGGCGAGCTCCAGCGTCAAGGGAGTCAAGTTTGGATTCTGTGACGTGGTACGTGCAGGGGGACCAATGTGTTCCACTGATTACTTTCACAATACTTGCATACCTTGTAGAAATGAGCAGATTTGTTTGTTATGAATTATTATATTTTCTTTTGCTGTTAATTCCTATTCAGTAAGCATGGACATCTTGAGTTCATTGTATATATTTGTTGTTTGTCATAAGGATCATTTTGAAATCTGTATGATGCGCACAGAAAATCATCTGTGCGAACACAAAAGAGATCTGTGGTGTAAGAGAAACAAATCGTTATTAGTTTGAAGAAAACGTCAGCATGAATTCATCAACACAAATCATCGGCATCGTGACTCTTTCGTAATTAGGTTCATGTTTTTGCTGTTACTTCAATTGTTTTTGCTCATGTGTTATCCTCCTGTTGCCTTGTTAAGCTTCATTTCTTTCTGAATAATTCTTAATCCTGAAACAAAAGTATTCTTTACAAACCCATCGATTACTAAAGGAAAGTATAACAATGCATTTGTGATTGACATACTAGTATGCTGTGGTATTCCAGTCATATCGGAATCTAGAATAATGATGTTTTATACAGACCGAGGGCAGCTGGGCCCTGAATGGGGATCCATCCTACCCATTTTTTGACAACATTGATGGCAACCGACAGAACAACTTCCTGGACGCCGATGGCAGCGTGTCTGGAACTGCAGGGACCCAGTTCGTGCCGAACACACGTTTCCTCACCACCAACCAGTGTGACTATAGGCCGTCCTCGAACTTCGCTGTGTGTCCTCATGACTACGCCCGGGTAATTGATTATTACATCATTACTCTGTCATCTCATAGATTATTAACACAGACAGTAAAAGGCCACTGGCACATAATCCAGACAAATGCATGGTCACACATCACATGAATGGTACACAAGAATCTATTAAACTGCTCTGCTCTTAATTCTAATTTGTACATAATATAAAAATACACTAACGTTCTTAATCACATTAACATTGGCAGATTGCATAATATCTATAAAGTTGTTCACCACAGTATATTTATCTCTAACATCAGAAAAAACATGCACAGATGTACAAAATATGCCACTCATCTTCAACAACATTGATACCTTTTGATTTACAAAATAAACACAATCTTTCATTAGAAGCAATAATTTCATGTCTCCCAGTCTCTATTGCTCAATTAAAATTTCCACATCTGAAGAGGGCAGATCTCAAATTTATACAAATAATACAATTTAAGTATTTTCTACATCTATTAGGGTTTTATACTGACAATAATAAATAGTTTTATGTGAATTGTCAGTGGAAGTATACCAGGATAACTAATCATGCTATAGATAATTAACCACTTCTACAAACACATTGTTTCTTCGACGTCTAAGCCATTACTTGTTCCCTGTCCATGATCTGCCTGTGCCGGATTACCAGGTCGAGCGATGTAGTCACTTGTAATATCCTTTAATCCGACAGATTAGTACAAATCAGTAATGCCTAAAAGAGTATATTTTCTAAATTTCAAACGCTGAAAGTAAATGTAAGGTAAAGTAAATAAACGATCAAGTTGAGGTCAAAATACACCAAGACCATGCTGATTCCGACGGTTGTATGAGGCCAAATCTATTGTCAAGGGATCGTATGATATCAGATAAATAGACCGGCCTTGAATATATTTTTCCACGCATGTCGTTAAAGCCTGTTGTACTGTGGATTGGGTGGTCACAATGTGTGACCTGTTTGCACATGCCATCCGCCACTAGTTTTCCCTGACCATACAGATCACAATGTTACGATTGGAAGATTGCTAACTCATGCACTAACAGTTGATGTACAATCGCTGTATGGGAAGTTGACCTGTTGTAGGTGTTGTTCACTGGAGACGGGGCCCTCGACACTCTTCACCAGAACTTCCCCATGTTCCTCCGACGTGACGACAGGCCAGATGACCCTTTCTCAGTGGAAGGTACTTATCACATATACACCTTGCTTATATAGTCAATATAACACGGACGTCTGCGTTAGCATAAAACACTGCTATATATCTAGGAACGTCCTATACTTGTGTCTGTTTGTATCTGTTTATATAACACGCTTGATAGATGATATGTTTCATGAAGAGGAAATTTAATTCTTTTCTGTAGTATCTGCCATCTTTAATTAAATCATTTCCTTTCACAGCCAGGACAGGAATCATGAAACGATTTCACATAATTGTAAATTATTTCCTGTTGAAAACAAAACAACATCGTATTCATAGTGCTAAAGCTCTGATACATTCTCTTGTTTCCTATCATTTCTGTATCTGTATCAACGCGTATATTTGGATGTGAGTCTCAGGTGGAGATTTTCTGATGTACCATTACCAATAGGCATGACAGCAATGTGCCATGTCATGTAAATGTACCATTACCAATATGCATGACAGCAATGTGCCATGTGATGTAAGTGTACCATTACCAATATGCATGGCAGCAATGTGCCATGTCATGTAAACGTATGGTTAACAATTTGCATGACAGCAATGTGCCATGTCATGTAAGTGTACCATTAACAATATGCATGACAGCAATGTGCCATGTCATGTAAGTGTATCGTTAACAATATGCATGACAACAATGTGCCATGTGATGTAAGTGTATCGTTAACAATGTGCATGAAAACAATGTGCCATGTCATGCAGGTGTACCGTTAACAATGTGCATGACAGCAATGTGCCATGTCATGTAGGTGTATCGTTAACAATGTGCATGACAGCAATGTACCATTTCATGTAGGTGTACCGTTAACAACGTGCATGACAGCAATGTGCCATGTCATGTAGGTGTACCGTTAACAATGTGCATGACAGCAATGTGCCATGTCATGTAGGTGTACCGTTAACAATGTGCATGACAGCATTGTGCCATGTCATGTAGGTGTACCGTTAACAATGTGCATGACAGCAATGTGCCATGTCATGTAGGTGTACCGTTAACAATGTGCATGACAGCTGTATTCCATGTCGTGTAAGTGTATCGTTAACAATGTGCATGACAGCAATGTGCAATGTCATGCAGGTGTCTGGGGAAACAACTACCTAGTGATCAAAAAGAAGTCCTACACCGTCTACTTCAATGGAGCATCACCGTTCACAATACAAGTCAAGGGGCATAACTTGGGGAGGTAAGTAGACGTGGGCGCATAGGGTTCTGTACCATGGGTGAACCATGGGAAGGCGTGTACACTACGTTCGGCTACTTCGGCTGCTGCTACTGCTAGTACAGTTGCTGCATCAGCTACAACTATAGTCAGTTTGGCTCAAAAGCGCACCGATGAATTACAATCTAACTCGAAAACTAATAAACATAAAATACTCAATGAAACACTGATCATAATCAAAACATTATACCCACTCTGTGAGGTTTCTGCAGACTGTTTGTCCTAAAAATAAAAAAGTTATTTCACAATCTATCATTAAAATATTGACACAGTTCACTATTTGTTACGAGGGAGGAGTGCCGAGAAAGGGACAGCCAGGTGTTTGAGAACGGATGGAGACGGCACAGCACAGGTTAATGAATCAATAACTTTGTCTGTGAACGTGCTTCTCGAACACCTGGCTGTCCCTTTCTCTGCACTCCTCCCTCGTAACAAACAGTGAACTGTGTCAATATTTTAATGATAGTTTGTTTACCAACTTTATTATTTTTAGGAAAAAATTCTGCAAAAACCTCACAGAGTGGGTATGATGTTTTGATTATGATCAGTGTTTCATTGAGTATGTTATGTTTATTAGTTTTCGAGTTAGATTGTAATTCATCGGTCCGCTTTTGAGCCAAACGGACTATAGTGCAACTGCTTATCTACCACTACTTGCACTGCTGCTACTTCAATTTATGCCCTTACAACTCCTTCTTATCAACTACTTCTACTACTACTGCTGCTGCTGCTTCTGTCCTTCTACTACTACTACCACTACTACTGCTACTACTACTACTGCTTCTTCTACTGCTGCTGCTGCTCCTACAGCTGCTACTACCATTGCTATTGCTATCGACTTTATCGTAAAGTCTCCTCGCAATAATTAGAATATATAAACATAAATTATTTTTAATCGATCGCAACCTTTGGAGCAAACATGATTTTCCCATTTTAAAACTAGCGATATTAGCTGTCCTTGTCATATATCATGTTTTCAGTAGACATATTCTACAAAGTCACGCTCTTAAAATAACCGCTGATGTCAGGATATCTTTGTGTAAATAACGGAAACGAAGGCGCTTTGGTCCTGAACTATTTCACTTGACAAATGTAACCGAATAAGCGGGTTTCACTGTGATCGATAAGATCCGGAGTGATGGTGCTCAAACTGATCTTTAACAGTTAGAATAATGGGGTTTCACTGTGATCAATGCTATCCGGAGTAATGAGGTCTCACTGTAATCAGTTCTATCTGGAGTAATGAGGTTTCACTGTAATCAATGCTATCCTCAGTAATGAGGTTTCACTGAAATCAGTGCTATCTGGAGTAATGAGGTTTCACTGTAATCAATACTATCTGGAGTAATGAGGTTTCACTGCAATCAATGCTATCTTCAGTAATGAGGTTTCACTATAATCAATAATATCTGGAGTAATGAGGTTTCACTGTAATCAATGCTATCTTCAGTAATGAGGTTTCTCTGCAATCAATGCTATCTGGAGTAATGAGTTTTCACTGGAATCAATCTATCTGGAGTAATGATTTTTCACTGGAATCAATACTATCTGGAGTAATGATGTTTCACTGCAATCAGTGCTATCTGGAGTAATGAGGTTTCACTGTAATCAATACTATCTTGAGTAATGAGGTTTCACTGTAATCAATGCTATCTTCAGTAATGAGGTTTCTCTGCAATCAGTGCTACCTGGAGTAATGATTTTTCACTGTAATCAATACTATCTGGAGTAATGAGGTTTCACTGCAATCAGTGCTATCCGGAGTAATGAGGTTTCACTATAATCAATACTATCTGGAGTAATGAGGTTTCACTGTAATCAATGCTATCTGGAGTAATGAGGTTTCACTGAAATCAGTGCTAGCTGGAGTAATGAGGTTTCACTGTTATCAATACTATCTGGAGTTATGTGGTTTCACTCTAATCAATACTATCTGGAGTAATGAGGTTTCACTGTAATCAATACTATCAGGAGTAATGGGGTTTCACTGTATTCAGTGCTATCTGGAGTAATGGGCTTCACTGTAATCAGAGCTATCTGGAGTAATGGGGTTTCACTGTAATCATTGATATCTGGAGTAATGGGGTTTCACTGTAATCAGTGCTATCTTCAGTAATGGGATTTCACTTCAATCAGTGGTATCTGGAGTAATGAGGTTTCACTGCAATCAATTCTATCTGGAGTAATGAGGTTTCACTGTAATCAATGCTATCTTCAGTAATGACGTTTCTCTGCAATCAGTGCTATCTGGAGTAATGATTTTTCACTGCAATCAATATTATCTGGAGTAATGATGTTTCACTGCAATCAGTGCTATCCGGAGTAATGAAGTTTCACTATAATCAATACTATCTGGAGTAATGAGGTTTCACTGTAATCAATGCTATCTTCAGCAATGAGGTTTCACTGCAATCAGTGGTATCTGGAGTAATGAGGTTTCACTGTAATCAATACTATCTGGAGTAATGAGGTTTCACTGTAATCAATACTATCTGGAGTAATGAGGTTTCACTGTCATCAATACTATCTGGAGTAATGGGGTTTCACTGTAATCAGTGCTATCTGGAGTAATGGGGTTTCACTGTAATCAGAGCTATCTGGAGTAATGAGGTTTTACTGTAATCAGTGCTATCTTCAGTAATGGGGTTTTACTGTAATCAGAGCTATCTTCAGTAATGGGGTTTCACTGTAATCAGTGATATCTTCAGTAATGAGGTTTTACTGTAATCAGAGCTATCTTCAGTAATCAGGTTCACTGTAATCAGTGCTATCTTCAGTACTGGGGTTTCACTGTAATCAGTGCTATCTTCAGTAATGGGGTTTTACTGTAATCAGTGCTATCTTCAGTAATGGGGTTTTACTGTAATCAGAGCTATCTGGAGTAATGGGGTTTCACTGTAATCAGTGCTATCTTCAATAATAGGGTTTTACTGTAATCAGAGCTATCTTCAGTAATGGGGTTTCACTGTAATCAGTGCTATCTGGAGTACTGGGGTTTTACTGTAATCAGAGCTATCTTCAGTAATGGGGTTTCACTGTAATCAGTGATATCTTCAGTAATGAGGTTTTACTGTAATCAGTGCTATCTTCAGTAATGGGGTTTTACTGTAATCAGAGCTATCTTCAGTAATGGGGTTTCACTGTAATCAGTGATATCTTCAGTAATGAGGTTTTACTGTAATCAGAGCTATCTTCAGTAATGAGGTTCACTGTAATCAGTGCTATCTGGAGTACTGGGGTTTTACTGTAATCAGAGCTATCTTCAGTAATGGGGTTTCACTGTAATCAGTGATATTTTCAGTAATGAGGTTTTACTGTAATCAGAGCTATCTTCAGTAATGAGGTTTCACTGTAATCAGTGCTATCTGGAGTAATGAGGTTTCACTGTAATCAGTGCTATCTTCAGTAATGGGGTTTCACTGTAATCAGAGCTATCTTCAGTAATGGGGTTTCACTGTAATCAGTGCTATCTTCAGTAATGAGGTTTCACTGTAATCAATGCTATCTTCAGTAATGAGGTTTTACTGTAATCAGTGCTATCTTCAGTAATGGGGTTTTACTGTAATCAGAGCTATCTTCAGTATTGGGGTTTCACTGTAATCACTGATATCTTCAGTAATGGGGTTTTACTGTAATCAGTGCTATCTTTAGTAATGGGGTTTTACTGTAATCAGAGCTATCTTCAGTAATGGGGTTTCACTGTAATCAGAGCTATCTTCAGTAATGGGGTTTCACTGTAATCAGAGCTATCTTCAGTAATGAGGTTTTACTGTAATCAGTGCTATCTGGAGTAATGAGGTTTCACTGTAATCAGTGCTATCTTCAGTAATGGGGTTTTACTGTAATCAGTGATATCTTCAGTAATGGGGTTTTACTGTAATCAGAGCTATCTTCAGTAATGGGGTTTCACTGTAATCAGAGCTATCTTCAGTAATGGGGTTTCACTGTAATCAGAGCTATCTTCAGTAATAAGGTTTTACTGTAATCAGTGCTATCTGGAGTAATGAGGTTTCACTGTAATCAGTGCTATCTTCAGTAATGGGGTTTCACTGTAATCAGTGCTATCTTCAGTAATGAGGTTTCACTGTAATCAATGCTATCTTCAGTAATGAGGTTTTACTGTAATCAGAGCTATCTTCAGTATTGGGATTTCACTGTAATCAGTGCTATCTGGAGTACTGGGGTTTCACTGTAATCAGTGCTATCTGGAGTACTGGGGTTTCACTGTAATCAGTGCTATCTGGAGTACTGGGGTTTTATTGTAATCAGAGCTATCTTCAGTAATGGGGTTTCACTGTAATCAGTGATATCTTCAGTAATGAGGTTTTACTGTAATCAGTGCTATCTTCAGTAATGGGGTTTTACTGTAATCAGAGCTATCTTCAGTAATGGGGTTTCACTGTAATCAGTGATATCTTCAGTAATGAGGTTTTACTGTAATCAGAGCTATCTTCAGTAATGAGGTTCACTGTAATCAGTGTTATCTTCAGTAATGGGGTTTCACTGTAATCAGTGCTATCTTCAGTAATGGGGTTTTACTGTAATCAGTGCTATCTTCAGTAATGGGGTTTTACTGTAATCAGAGCTATCTGGAGTAATGGGGTTTCACTGTAATCAGTGCTATCTTCAATAATAGGGTTTTACTGTAATCAGAGCTATCTTCAGTAATGAGGTTCACTGTAATCAGTGCTATCTGGAGTACTGGGGTTTCACTGTAATCAGTGCTATCTTCAGTAATTGGGTTTTACTGTAATCAGTGCTATCTTCAGTAATGGGGTTTCACTGTAATCAGTGCTATCTGGAGTACTGGGGTTTTACTGTAATCAGAGCTATCTTCAGTAATGGGGTTTCACTGTAATCAGTGATATCTTCAGTAATGAGGTTTTACTGTAATCAGTGCTATCTTCAGTAATGGGGTTTTACTGTAATCAGAGCTATCTTCAGTAATGGGGTTTCACTGTAATCAGTGATATCTTCAGTAATGAGGTTTTACTGTAATCAGAGCTATCTTCAGTAATGAGGTTCACTGTAATCAGTGCTATCTGGAGTACTGGGGTTTTACTGTAATCAGAGCTATCTTCAGTAATGGGGTTTCACTGTAATCAGTGATATTTTCAGTAATGAGGTTTTACTGTAATCAGAGCTATCTTCAGTAATGAGGTTTCACTGTAATCAGTGCTATCTGGAGTAATGAGGTTTCACTGTAATCAGTGCTATCTTCAGTAATGGGGTTTCACTGTAATCAGAGCTATCTTCAGTAATGGGGTTTCACTGTAATCAGTGCTATCTTCAGTAATGAGGTTTCACTGTAATCAATGCTATCTTCAGTAATGAGGTTTTACTGTAATCAGTGCTATCTTCAGTAATGGGGTTTTACTGTAATCAGAGCTATCTTCAGTATTGGGGTTTCACTGTAATCAGTGATATCTTCAGTAATGGGGTTTTACTGTATTCAGTGCTATCTTTAGTAATGGGGTTTTACTGTAATCAGAGCTATCTTCAGTAATGGGGTTTCACTGTAATCAGAGCTATCTTCAGTAATGGGGTTTCACTGTAATCAGAGCTATCTTCAGTAATAAGGTTTTACTGTAATCAGTGCTATCTGGTGTAATGAGGTTTCACTGTAATCTGTGCTATCTTCAGTAATGGGGTTTTACTGTAATCAGTGCTATCTTCAGTAATGGGGTTTTACTGTAATCAGAGCTATCTTCAGTAATGGGGTTTCACTGTAATCAGAGCTATCTTCAGTAATGGGGTTTCACTGTAATCAGAGCTATCTTCAGTAATAAGGTTTTACTGTAATCAGTGCTATCTGGAGTAATGAGGTTTCACTGTAATCAGTGCTATCTTCAGTAATGGGGTTTCACTGTAATCAGTGCTATCTTCAGTAATGAGGTTTCACTGTAATCAATGCTATCTTCAGTAATGAGGTTTTACTGTAATCAGAGCTATCTTCAGTAATGAGGTTCACTGTAATCAGTGCTATCTGGAGTACTGGGGTTTCACTGTAATCAGTGCTATCTGGAGTACTGGGGTTTCACTGTAATCAGTGCTATCTGGAGTACTGGGGTTTTACTGTAATCAGAGCTATCTTCAGTAACGGGGTTTCACTGTAATCAGTGATATTTTCAGTAATGAGGTTTTACTGTAATCAGAGCTATCTTCAGTAATGACGTTTCACTGTAATCAGTGCTATCTGGAGTAATGAGGTTTCACTGTAATCAGTGCTATCTTCAGTAATGGGGTTTCACTGTAATCAGAGCTATCTTCAGTAATGGGGTTTCACTGTAATCAGTGCTATCTTCAGTAATGAGGTTTCACTGTAATCAATGCTATCTTCAGTAATGAGGTTTTACTGTAATCAGAGCTATCTTCAGTAATGAGGTTCACTGTAATCAGTGCTATCTGGAGTAATGGGGTTTCACTGTAATCAGTGATATCTTCAGTAATGGGGTTTCACTGTAATCAGAGCTATCTTCAGTAATGGGGTTTCACTGTAATCAGAGCTATCTTCAGTATTGGGATTTCACTGTAATCAGTGCTATCTGGAGTACTGGGGTTTCACTGTAATCAGTGCTATCTGGAGTACTGGGGTTTCACTGTAATCAGTGCTATCTGGAGTACTGGGGTTTTACTGTAATCAGAGCTATCTTCAGTAATGGGGTTTCACTGTAATCAGTGATATCTTCAGTATTGAGGTTTTACTGTAATCAGTGCTATCTTCAGTAATGGGGTTTTACTGTAATCAGAGCTATCTTCAGTAATGGGGTTTCACTGTAATCAGTGATATCTTCAGTAATGAGGTTTTACTGTAATCAGAGCTATCTTCAGTAATGAGGTTCACTGTAATCAGTGCTATCTGGAGTACTGGGGTTTCACTGTAATCAGTGCTATCTTCAGTAATGGGGTTTTACTGTAATCAGTGCTATCTTCAGTAATGGGGTTTTACTGTAATCAGAGCTATCTGGAGTAATGGGGTTTCACTGTAATCAGTGCTATCTTCAGTAATGGGGTTTTACTGTAATCAGAGCTATCTTCAGTAATGAGGTTCACTGTAATCAGTGCTATCTGGAGTAATGAGGTTTCACTGTAATCAGTGCTATCTTCAGTAATGGGGTTTTACTGTAATCAGTGCTATCTTCAGTAATGGGGTTTTACTGTAATCAGAGCTATCTTCAGTAATGAGGTTCACTGTAATCAGTGCTATCTGGAGTAATGGGGTTTCACTGTAATCAGTGCTATCTGGAGTACTGGGGTTTCACTGTAATCAGTGCTATCTTCAGTAATGGGGTTTCACTGTAATCAGAGCTATCTTCAGTAATGAGGTTTCACTGTAATCAGAGCTATCTGGAGTAATGGGGTTTCACTGTAATCAGTGCTATCTGGAGTAATTGGGTTTCACTGTAATCAGTGCTATCTGGAGTACTGGGGTTTCACTGTAATCAGTGCTATCTGGAGTACTGGGGTTTCACTGTAATCAGTGCTATCTTCAGTAATGGGGTTTCACTGTAATCAGTGCTATCTGGAGTAATGAGGTTTCACTGTAATCAGTGCTAGTTTCAGTAATGAGGTTCACTGTAATCAGTGCTATCTTCAGTAATGGGGTTTCACTGTAATCAGTGCTATCTGGAGTAATGAGCTTTCACTGTAATCAGTGCTAGTTTCAGTAATGAGGTTCACTGTAATCAGTGCTATCTTCAGTAATGGGGTTTCACTGTAATCAGTAATATCTTCAGTAATGGGATTTCACTGTAATCAGAGCTATCTTCAGTAGTGAGGCACGACGCTACAATGCTACAATATTCTGAGTTGTGTGTTGACAGCGGTGACTACGTGCGACTAGGACTTTGCTACCCCAAGGATGTGAAGAGCTTCACATTTCTGAGTTATTACCCCTTGATCAATACTGCCAACCCTGCCGTCCAAGTCAGCAGCATCGCCGAGCTGGACAGCGACACCACGGGGACAGCCTACTTCTGGGATCATGCACGGGGGTAAGCAGTACATGCCCAATGGCGATAGACTGAGGGAAAACAGATTTTAGTCATTTATTCATGACATGCAGTAAAATTTCACCTCCACCGACTTGTCACTGCCAGGACTTCAAGCGACTCTTGTAGATATTGCACTACAACAGGCTGACAAATACGATAACACTTTAGTCTACATATCTGCAAACACCATCCCTATATCTGAAGAGCTGTAGTCCCACCCTTACATTACTGAATGACTGCTACACCACCGTGGTGTTCCCACCACACATCGACGACGTTAATACTACATTACCATGACATGGCACTGTAGTTCTGTGATACCATGGTGCTTGGTAACATGGTGCATGGTGCTTGGTAATATGGTGGTGGGAGTAAGAGGACGCTCAGAAGAGTATGGGTAAGATTAATATTGGGTTTCTCTTGGTTGGAGGTTCGAATCCCAGATTCGGCCAGATTACGATCTTTTGTTTGTCATCATCTACTTGATACACGTGCGACTTTGACCTTTCGCCCACCGCCGTGATAAAAACTCAATCTCGCCTTGTTTTTTTCTGCCTCTCCAGGCTGCTGTTTGTGAAGGTTTACTCTGACGCCGACCGCATTGACGGCGAGCACTGCCCCGGTCGTCGTTGTCCTGCAATCACGATTACCAGGAACGGCGGCAGCAACAGCAGCGTGGACTGTTACGCTTCCGCATATGACGGAACGTACAACCAGCCTGAAGACGTATGTTTTGTCAGATTCTATGTAAACAACGTGAAGAAAATATAACTGCTTAAGTATGTAAATGTATGTAATGATATCCTTTCTAGTTGTAAAACCCACAGGACCCCGGTTTGTAATACCCAGCACGTTACAGGTTGTAAGAGGCTACTACACTGACGTTCATGCTAACGCTATGTAATTTCTGAGGTCATGTGTGGTCGTACCACTGGTTTGGTTTGTCTCGATGTACAGGCGTCTTGAAATGGCTCGAATATTGTTGGCAGCGGTATATAACAAATCTCAGTTCCTGTAGTAATTAACAGGCCATGTGCAGTTTAACACTGATGACAAAGCTACGATGCACAATGTTGTTACCGATGATGTCCCGGTTGTACACTACGATGCACAATGTTGTTGACGATGACGTCCCTGTTGTACACTACGATGGACAATGTCGTTGGCGATGTTATCTCTGTTGTACACTACGATGCACAATGTTGTTGACGATCACGTCCCTGTTGTGCACTACGATGCACAATGTTGTTGACGTAATATATACCTCTTGTACACTACGATGCACAATGTTGTTGACGATGACGTCCCTTTTGTACACTACGATGCACAATGTTGTTGACATAATATATACCTCTTGTACACTACGATGCACAATGTTGTTGACGTAATATATACCTCTTGTACACTACGATGCACAACGTTGTTGACTATGATGTCCCTGTTGTACACTACGATGCACAATGTTGTTGACGTAATATACACCTTTTGTACACTACGATGCACAATGTTGTTGACGTAATATATACCTCTTGTACACTACGATGCACAATGTTGTTGACGTAATATATACCTCTTGTACACTACGATGCACAACGTTGTTGACTATGATGTCCCTGTTGTACACTACGATGCACAATGTTGTTGACGTAATATACACCTTTTGTACATTACGATGCACAATGTTGTTGACGTAATATATACCTCTTGTACACTACGATGCACAATGTTGTTGACGTAATATATACCTCTTGTACACTACGATGCACAATGTTGTTGACGTAATATACACCTCTTGTACACTACGATGCACAATGTTGTTGACGTAATATATACCTCTTGTACACTACGATGCACAATGTTGTTGACGTAATATATACCTCTTGTACACTACGATGCACAATGTTGTTGACGATGACGTCCCTGTTTTACACTACGATGCACAATGTTGTTGACGTAATATATACCTCTTGTACACTACGATACACAATGCTGTTGACGATGACGTCCCTGTTGTACACTACGATGCACAATGTTGTTGACGTAATATATACCTCTTGTACACTACGATGCACAATGTTGTTGACTATGATGTCCCTGTTGTAGGCTGCGGTGAACATTCCAACAGCCAAAGCCTGTGTCAAGACGTCTTCAGAGGTACGTGTTAGATTGATGATTGTGTTTAAAACATTCCCTTCTTTAAACATTCCCCTGACTGTGATAAACCACCAGCTCGTCCTCAAAGTGTACAGACGTTTCATTCATAAACAAACCTCCGATGTAACAAACACGGACCGCAAGAATCAAGCGTTTGGTGATAAGCCTGAAGTTCCAATGACCAAGGTACTAGCTGCTGTGTTATTGTGGCCTACAGGGCTATGGTGCTGAAGTGGAGCAGGACTTCTTTGAGGCCGCGGAATCCACCGCCCCAACCTGTAAAACTGGAGGTGTACAAGCAGGTAAACACCTTCAATAAACTGACGCTATCACCTATCACCTACTACGTTCACAAAACATGTACAACCAGTTGAGGAATAAACGCCAGTGCACAAGAATACCCAATATTGACATAGCTGTGAAAATGGTATGAATGGACCACTGTAAATCAGTGATGACACCAGGTGTTCACGCACACCTGCATGTGTATAATCATGTAAATACCTCCATATGTGCGTCATAATTAGTGATTTCGGCATACTATTCAAATCATTTCTACCATTCATTCAAGAATTGATTCTAACTGATTACACAGAGGTCTCCTTCTTCATCCTGATACTTCCTTTTGATGGATAACTTCTTTGAGTGGCATTAAGGAGTTGGTCCTTTTCGAATTAGGCCGCCATATAGCTGGAATATTGCTGAGTGCAGCGTAAGACTAAACTCACTCACTCACTCTGTTCGAATGAAGCCTTTTGACACAAAAATGTGCTTATAAAAACAGCGACCTGACGACAGCAAACACATAGAGTCATGTTACAATGGCTACCAAAGAACAACAGCATACAAAACGCGATGAAATCTATTTCAGAACCTCCGTCATCCACACGTAATTTCATCTGGAAATGTTTTTGTATTTAGAGCTAAAAGGATGCTATGGAGAACGTTATCTGCCGAGGGACCTCCCTCATGCCTACGTATCTTTACCTACGTCCTTGACCGTTGATGTGTGCGTCAAAAGGTACATTGATAGTCCAGTTTCCATGACCGTTGGTGTATATGAGGAGAATACAATGACAGTTTAGTTTCCATGACAGTTGGCGTCTGTGAGGAGAGTACGTTGACAGTTTAGTTTCCATGACAGTTGGTGTGTGTGAGGAGATAATGTTGACAGTTTTTTGTTTCCATGACCGCTGGAGCGTGTGAGGAGGGCACGTTGACAGTTTAGTTTCCATGACCGTTGGTGCGTGTGAGGAGAGCACATTGACAGTTTAGTTTCCAAGACCGTTGGTGCGTGTAAGGAGAGCACGATGACAGTTTAGTTTCCATGACCGTTGGTGTGTGTGAGGAGAGAACGATGACAGTTTAGTTTCCATGACCGTTGGTGCACCTGAGGAGAGTACGTTGACACTTAAGTTTCCATGACCGTTTGTGTGTGTGAGGAGAGCACGTTGACACTTTAGTTTCCATGACCGTTTGTGCGTGTGAGGAAAGTACGATGACAGGAAAGTACGATGACAGTTTAGTTTCCATGACAGTTGGTGTGTGTGAGGAGAGAACGATGACAGTTTAGTTTCTATGACCGTTGGTGTGTGTGAGGAGAGTACGGTGACAGTTTAGTTTCCATGACCGTTGGTGTGTGTGAGGAGAGTACGGTGACAGTTTAGTTTCCATGACCGTTGGTGTGTGTGAGGAGAGCACGTTGACAGTTTAGTTTCCATGACCGTTGGTGTGTGTGAGGAGACAGTTTAGTTTCCATGACAGTTGGTGCGTGTGAAGAGAGAACGATGACAGTTTAGTTTCCATGACAGTTGGTGTGTGTGAGGAGAGAACGATGACAGTTTAGTTTCTATGACCGTTGGCGTGTGTGAGGAGAGTACGTTGACAGTTTAGTTTCCATGACAGTTGGTGTGTGTGAGGAGATAATGTTGACAGTTTTTTGTTTCCATGACCGCTGGAGCGTGTGAGGAGGGCACGTTGACAGTTTAGTTTCCATGACCGTTGGTGCGTGTGAGGAGAGCACATTGACAGTTTAGTTTCCAAGACCGTTGGTGCGTGTAAGGAGAGCACGTTGACAGTTTAGTTTCCATGACCGTTGGTGTGTGTGAGGAGAGAACGATGACAGTTTAGTTTCCATGACCGTTGGTGCACCTGAGGAGAGTACGTTGACACTTAAGTTTCCATGACCGTTTGTGTGTGTGAGGAGAGCACGTTGACACTTTAGTTTCCATGACCGTTTGTGCGTGTGAGGAAAGTACGATGACAGGAAAGTACGATGACAGTTTAGTTTCCATGACAGTTGGTGTGTGTGAGGAGAGAACGATGACAGTTTAGTTTCCATGACCGTTGGTGTGTGTGAGGAGAGTACGGTGACAGTTTAGTTTCCATGACCGTTGGTGTGTGTGAGGAGAGTACGGTGACAGTTTAGTTTCCATGACCGTTGGTGTGTGTGAGGAGAGTACGGTGACAGTTTAGTTTCCATGACCGTTGGTGTGTGTGAGGAGAGCACGTTGACAGTTTAGTTTCCATGACCGTTGGTGTGTGTGAGGAGAGCACGTTGACAGTTTAGTTTCCATGACCGTTGGTGTGTGTGAGGAGACAGTTTAGTTTCCATGACAGTTGGTGCGTGTGAAGAGAGAACGATGACAGTTTAGTTTCCATGACAGTTGGTGTGTGTGAGGAGAGAACGATGACAGTTTAGTTTCTATGACCGTTGGTGTGTGTGAGGAGAGTACGGTGACAGTTTAGTTTCCATGACCGTTGGTGTGTGTGAGGAGAGCATGTTGACAGTTTAGTTTCCATGACCGTTGGTGTGTGTGAGGAGAGCACGTTGACAGTTTAGTTTCCATGACCGTTGGTGTGTGTGAGGAGACAGTTTAGTTTCCATGACAGTTGGTGCGTGTGAAGAGAGAACGATGACAGTTTAGTTTCCATGACAGTTGGTGTATATGAGGAGAATACGATGACAGTTTAGTTTCCATGACAGTTGGTGAGTTTGGAATGGAGGATAAGGTCGAAGTGAAGTAGCTTGCACTTGAACAAAACGGTTACATAAATGTATTGAGATGTGAATGTATATGCATATAATCCCTAGAATGATACGAAGCGTCAAGAAAATGTAAAGATAATGTATTTCCTGGTTGAATAAGAAGAAATTACCTGGCATGTTTACGTTCTTGGCAATCACGCCAACCATATAATCTGTGTTCAGGTGTCATGCCAGAGGCCATCCTTACGCTGGAGTGTCCAACGGGCGCGAGTGTGCTTGTGGGGATGCATATGGAGGATACGGGACCAGTAGCGACTGCACCAAACCCTGTGTGGGAGACAGCGACGTCAACTGTGGGGGTTACAATGCTGTCGCCGTATATACAACCGGCATAGGTTCGTGTCGTCCATTAAGAGACTCTAGAATTTCTGAAGGATCTAATTTGCGGGGAAAATAGAAAAAAACCATTTGCTATTTTACAGAAATATACTTACAATTTATAATGTGGTTTGATTAGTTATATTCTGACATTTTTCCCACTAATGCGACGAGACAGATACCCTGCAACGTACTAATTTTGTTTCCTTTTGCAGTGGAGCACTGAGGAAATTGTTCAGCAAATTAATACTCCTAAAGATAGGTTGAAATTACCGAGTTAACAGTTATTTGTAACGGATATGTATATTACATTTGGATGAAGGTCAAATGTCACCACTTGTAGATTCACGGATTGGTCTTGTTTTGTACCCTAGCCGAACCTCCATCTTTTGATACATGTGGACCCGACGGTTCTGGCGCAGTGATTAATGGGAAATGTTTCTACCTCACTGCCGGTAGTTATTCTTACGTCGAGGCCCAGCAAGCATGTGTCGAGCTGGGCGGACATCTGGCAACAATCAACTCAGAAGATGTACAGGTTAGCGGATGTCTGTATATGGTATTTTACCGTATGTAGATTTGTAATAATGTACTCAGAATGGTATGTGTTAGCTCATCGGCTTAGAAGGGCATATAGTTACCTATAAAATTGGCTGTCGAGAAGAGTTCTCGAGTTTTAAAAACATGACATGATTAGTATTGTTCTGGTCAGATATCCACTCGGTAATGATTTGTGCAGTACATCGAACAACCAGTGTTCGAAATTAACGTCAGTCCATAGGCCCGAAGCCGACTGGAAACCACTCGGACCCACAGCTTTGGTTCTCTGCAGGTCCTTATGGCCGACAGTTTTTTCATACCCAATAATAAAGTATTATTTCCATGTTAAACTATGGGGCCTGCACATTCTGATCAGGACCCACAACGTTTCATGGCTCTGGGTCCTTAGGGCTTGCAGCTTTCCAGGGTCAAGGGCAAACACTGCGAACAACACAGAAAGAATATTTCCAATTGTGTATGTGAAGCCTTTGTCAAAACTGAACTTGTCCTTAAAAACTATAAGACATATATTCCTTCCTCCTTGGCACTTAAATTCCTCTTGCTTAGAACTTCCTGAAATCGTTTACCTAGAGAATTAGGTAAATGGCACACCGGCGTTAAACAACAAGCCAGGCACTAATTTCCACAAGAAGAAATAATTTGTAAGCTCTCCTACAACTGTGATGTTGGCGATGAATTTTATTGCATTTTTCTCTGCCCTTTCTCGGAAGAGGTATATCCCAAACCATCATCTTAGAAAAACTCAATGTGTTAAAATTTAACGAATTGTTTAACTGTAACCAAATACGATTTTTTATGCATTTTTATGGATTTATTCCTCTTATGCCTGAGCGTAGTACAAGTTGTGTTCTGTCGTAACATATAATTGAACGGGTCAGTATAGATCAATTGCATATGTGCAGGGTCAAGTAGCGCGCTACATGCGACCGAAGATGACTGACGCATGGTTTGGTCTGAACGACATCGTCAACGAGGGTGTGTTTGAGTTTGCTGATGGTTCACATCGAGGCAGCTACAGTAACTTCTTGTCAGGACAGGGCGCTTCCCAGTTCCAAGATGGCGTGGGTGAGGAATGCTTTTCAGTCAGGGCGTGCCGTGCCATGTAACTAGTAAGCTTAATATTAGCAATTCTGGCTCATCAACGTACCATGATACATTGAGACCTTCTACCCGCTATCAGCGGGTTTTTAATAAAATGTTTTTGCTTATTCCCATGGACCTGACATGCACCTGCCTTTTCTTGTCTCGCGATGACTGAAATAAAGTTTCATGATTTTTTTCACCGAAGAAAGGCTTCCATGTGAAATACTGACTATAGACTACATACAATGTAGGTTTGGTATATATGTCTGCCCTTGTCAGCAACCCGATTTTGTGAAAGTACTTTAACTAATCATGTGTAATGTATTTCTTTTCAGCTTTAATGGCAAACAGACTTTACATGTGGTTTGATCAGAACGTCGGAAACAGCTATCGGGCATTATGTCAACTGCCACTCACCACCACCCAAGGTAATACGTTGTACAGTATCGTTGTAAATGATCATATCAATGTTCAAGTATTGGTTAGAAACATTCAATTTAGTAAAATGGCTAGGAACACTCAAATTACTTGTTTGGGTTGAAGGTGTGGAAGTGTGTGGACACCATGGCTATGGTCAGCAGATCACCACGACCGGAGCCGAATGTTACCTGATCCACAACACACCCGGCACCTATGACGAAGCCCTATTTGCCTGCTACTCCAGACGGGGCACTGTGGCTAGCGCGTCTGATCCCCAGGTGTTGGTAAGTATACCTTACATCAGGTGTTGGTAGATATATCTTATATCAGATGTGAGTGGGTATATCTTACATCAGGTGTTGGTAGGTATATCTTATATCAGATGTGAGTGGGTATATCTTACATCAGGTGTAGTAGGTATATCTTATATCAGATGTGAGTGGGTATATCTTACATCAGGTGTTGGTAGGTATATCTTATATCAGATGTGAGTGGGTATATCTTACATCAGGTGTTGGTAGGTATATCTTATATCAGATGTGAGTGGGTATATCTTACATCAGGTGTAGTAGGTATATCTTATATCTGGTGTTGTAGGCATGTGTCACTTTCGGTTTTGGAGGAACTTGTCGAGGCAGGTGTTGGTTCTTGTACATTAGGTGCTGGAAGACATATGACAAATCAGCTGTTGGAATCTGTAATAATATGATATGTTAAACCTCACGGGTCATGCAATCCGTCTTTATGAATTTCATCTGATCTCAACTGTTCCTTTACTCGCAAGTTGTGGTTCACAGCCGACTGACACGATTGGTCTCTTCTGTTACCAAGGCAAACATCTTGGAACACCTCAGCCTGTACGGCCAACAGACGAACTACTGGGTAGCTAGGGAAGGCAGTGAATATTATGGTGAGAGTACAGAATTAAAGTCTCTGAGAAAGTTAAGAAAAACATGTAGGCCCGATAAATAATACCTAGGGTATCTAATATAATAGTACATGTATTTGATAAAGTATTTCAGGAGGGAGATGTGCCTGCCCCTGCCCTGACTTGTATGCCTATGTTGACTTCGTCAAGTAATACACCGGTTATCCTAATATGTTCCAGAATTGCAACATGCGTCATCGTACAGCAAGATGTCGGCGAACCAAGTCAACCAGAACGGAGTGGTCTGTAAGATAGGTGGGTATGTTATCAACACTGAGTGTACCTTGTCTGTTTACACATATAGTTGAAGCTCACGCTTTTCCTAAATAAAACCATGGCATCAGGTATGTTCACCAATAACCATGACTCACTGTTCAGGGAATATAGTATGACCAGAAATTTTTGAGAATTTTAGGAATATGTTTAATTGGATTTCTACTATAAACAACCTTGACCAGCTATCAAGTGCTTGGTTTCATTCAAGAGAGACAACTCCGTTAATCCTTTTTCATTAGTTTGTGAAGAGTTATCCCCCTTTGTTTACTTGCTAGCAGACGACATTTTCAGTGATCCTAAGTATGGATGATTTAGAGAAGAGGAAGTTGATTTTAGAGTATTATAACAAGGACATCAGATCAGCTAAAGCGATTACAAGTAGAACAGGCATCCCTTTGTTCACTGTTTATCGTGTTTTGAAAAATATTGCAAATGGATATGGCATTGAGCACCAGGGAGGCGCAGGTAGGCCCTGAAAATTGACTGTCGGTGACAGGAGGCCGCTTGGTATTCTTGTTTCTTAAAACAAACGAAGGAGTTTAGAAAACTTATGGCTGGATATGATTGATAGAGGAACTGTGGCTGTCTGTAAGGAGACAATTAGAACTGAGCTGCATGCAATGGGTTGGCAGAAAAGTCGAGGAATTCCATCACTGATCATGAAACCTGAACAAAAGGAGCGAAGGTTGAACTGGTGCTTACAGCATAGAAATTTTAACTGGGACGATGTGATATACTCAGATGAAAGTTCTGTGTGGCTGTTTCCTAATACACTGAAATGCTGGACCAAACAAACTGAAAAACCTTTGTATCAGCGCCCAAAGTACAGTCCAAAATTTAACGTGTGGGGTGGCATATCTGTGTTAGGGACAACGCCCCTCTGTGTATTTGAAGGGAATATGAACAGTGAGCGGTACACAGATATTCTCGAGGGACATTTACTTCCATCTGCTCACGTGTTCTATGGAAATGTTTGGATTTTCCAGCAGGACAACGACCCAAAACATCGTTCAAAGCATTCGCAGGCCTGGTTTCGGAACCAAAATATGACATTATTAGATTGGCCAAGCTATAGCCCTGGCCTAAATCCAATAGAATATGTTTGGGGACTTATGAAGGAAAGTGTCAATAAGAAAAATCTGACAAATATTGCTGAAATGAAAGAAGAGGTGGTCCGATATTGGGACAGCATGGACCACGACTTTCTAACTTCTTGGATCAGTAGTATGTACCGCCGCATTGAAGCCTGCATTGCTGCCCATGGTGACTTGACAAAATACTAACTGTTCACCTGTCTTTGAATCTGGAGTTATGTTCTGCTAATATTCACATTTAATACGTGAGTAATGAGTGAAAAACATAACAATTTTACAATCTTTAAATTCTCAATAATTTCTGGTTGTACTGTATGTACAGAATTTTCACTCAGTTCCATACCATGTGCTGCACATATTCCTATACTGAAATTTTACCTCTCTTTTAGTGAGCGTTCTACTTGATTGTTGTCATTTGATGGTTGTGTTTTTGTTTCCAGAAACACTGACAAGCAACACCCCCTGTTCCAGTGGTAGGTAGCTGAAGTATTGGTTTTGTTAGTCTAGCGATCACATGCTGGCGACATCTTAGAAGGGCGCTGAGACAATGTCCGCTTTGAGATGTAAATATCTGGTCTTACGTTTATAAGTAGTATTTCTAATCTACACAACTACTCCTGAGAAACAATATTCCTGGACCGTTAATTTATTCACAACCACACAAGAGTACAAATATTCATAATTAACATTACTCGGGGATGGTGGGGATTAGAACTCCATTCATTTGTAAAGTGGTTAGTATATAAGATTTCAAGTGTGTGTGCTCTGGGAAACCTTCTTGCCAATATATACGCTGTAAACATATTCTAAAATTCATGCATTCGTAGAGTTCTAAGAAGATCAAAGAAGTCACATAGAAAATAATGCTATTGATCCCCTACTACTAGGGAACTGTCATAGGCGTTATTATTAGGATGGACGTGGGTGGAGAGGAGATTGTATATTGTAGAGAATTATTTTGTAAAACCATTCTCTACCATGTCGTAATGTGGTGTTATTCCATGATGTGATTCGCTGTATTTCAGACTGGGAATACAATGATGGTAACTGCTACCTCTCTGTACGACGATGGGCCACCTTCTCTGCAGCGTCTGCCTTCTGTAACCAGTGAGGAACTTTCCATTTAGTTATAGCAGGGTGTCAGAATGGGAGTACCTGTTTACTGTCGTTGGTTATAGCAGGGTGTCAGAATGGGAGTACCTGTTTACTGTCGTTGGTTATAGCAGGGTGTCAGAATGGGAGTACCTGTTTACTGTCGTTGGTTATAGCAGGGTGTCAGAATGGGAGTACCTGTTTACTGTCGTTGGTTATAGCAGGGTGTCAGAATGGGAGTACCTGTTTACTGTCGTTGGTTATAGCAGGGGTGTCAGAATGGGAGTACCTGTTTACTGTCGTTGGTTATAGCAGGGTGTCAGAATGGGAAGTACCTGTTTACTGTCGTTGGTTATAGCAGGGTGTCAGAATGGGAGTACCTGTTTACTGTCGTTGGTTATAGCAGGGTGTCAGAATGGGAGTACCTGTTTACTGTCGTTGGTTATAGCAGGGTGTCAGAATGGGAGTACCTGTTTACTGTCGTTGGTTATAGCAGGGTGTCAGAATGGGAGTACCTGTTTACTGTCGTTGGTTATAGCAGGGTGTCAGAATGGGAGTACCTGTTTACTGTCGTTGGTTATAGCAGGGTGTCAGAATGGGAGTACCTGTTTACTGTCGTTGGTTATAGCAGGGTGTCAGAATGGGAGTACCTGTTTACTGTCGTTGGTTATAGCAGGGTGTCAGAATGGGAATGGGAGTACCTGTTTACTGTCGTTGGTTATAGCAGGGTGTCAGAATGGGAGTACCTGTTTACTGTCGTTGGTTATAGCAGGGTGTCAGAATGGGAGTACCTGTTTACTGTCGTTGGTTATAGCAGGGTGTCAGAATGGGAGTACCTGTTTACTGTCGTTGGTTATAGCAGGGTGTCAGAATGGGAGTACCTGTTTACTGTCGTTGGTTATAGCAGGGTGTCAGAATTTTTAAAAAAGCAACAAATATTTTTGGAAAAATTGTTTTGATTTTGACTTACAATTGTAAAACATTGTGTATGTGATGCCAAAACACCACAGATATCGTACCTAGTCGACAGCACGTAGTCTGTCATCCTGTTGGTTCGGTAACCCAACGCTGTTGGTGCTGATGGCGTTACTGTGAGTCTCGGTGGAGAATGCGCAGATGATGGTCATCTTACGGGGTGATCACTGTCACGTGTCTAGCGAATCTGGTTGACGCGTCTCATTACTCTGACGATAGCGTGTCTTGTACAGCCGAACGTTCTGACAGTATAACTGTTCGAAGACCTAATCTGCCACATTCCAATGGCTGGTACTCGCCCAGCTGCTGAAAATCTTGGCATTTAAACAGATCTACCACTAGCAATCTGTTCTTGATTTTATTGCAGCCAACGCACCACACAAGCAAAACACTTTCACAATACTTACGATAGGTTTTTTATTTTCTTCTCTTTTTGTTTTTGTTTAGGAGTTGAGTGTTGTTTTGGATTATGTTGTTGTTTGTTTGTTCTGTTTCGTTTTTGTTTGGTAGGGGGGGGTATGGGGGTATTAATCCCAAAACAAAGGTGTGTACTTTCTCTCGTACGTCAGCCTTGAATACTGAACTGTCGCCTAAATCTTATGTTTTGCGCTGGACGTTGCTGGATCATCGTTTGGTCACATATGTCGACCTGATCTATTGCCACCAACAAATAGTAGGGAGAATCTAATAAAGATTTTCTGGCAGAAAGCTTCCTTTATATGTCTACAGTGTACTGATTACTGTTATCAAACATGTTGAAATTAATGTCAGGTTAACGCATCATAAAGACGCCCTTCAGTCTTTGTTCCTAAAGAGGCACACTTACCTTTGATCGTAAGAAACGCCTAGTCGTCTAAGGCGCGCAGTCGTTTTTACGAAGTTCATCCTTAATCCTGCCAAGGCCTAGTGTTCGAGGATAGAATCTCAAAAGTCGATTTGATAATGAGCCTTCCCACCAATCAGCAACTTTGTTTTACCACAGCGGCAAACGTCCCAGACTGGGATTTATTTCAGTGTTTCCTCAGACAACTAATCGTCCTTCATGTATATAATGCTCACTCACCAATCACTATTGTTTTAGAGGTGACAGTCGTCTTCTCGCCGTTCAAGACGACGCTGAAAACACGTATGTGGGAAACTATACCTCTACACAACTGTGGCTGGGTGAGTAACAGAAGTTTAATGTTCCTTATGTATGGTTTTGTGTATATTTTCCATGATGACTTCATATTACATTGTTGGTGGTATGACTTTTGTAAAAGTAAAACCCCAAACAATCGCAATTCTGGTTTTCTACCTTGTATTCTCGACATTGAATTATTGTAGTACACACTTTGATGGGGTGATGTATTTCCGATATGCGATACTTCCTTGCCATCAGTTCCACAACTGATATGATAAACCATTGTATCAATGTTTCTTCAACATGTTTTAGAATGCAATTTACAATGGTAGGCACTGCAGGGTTTGTAAGATGTTCATTAAGGCCCTTTCTTACTTAGCCTCCCAAAATTAAGTTTCTTGTTTCCTATTATTTCGTTTTAATTCGGTAGCGAGAATTGTTGAATGTACTGAATTCCAAAGCAATCCACACTAAATTAACTATTGAACCAAATGGAAACAAGTACTGAAAAAGGTTACTGATTTCAGCATCACGAACGGAATATAGATCGTAAATGCTACTTGGAAGAAATACCTCTAATATAGCACGTGCTTGGGTAGTCGTTGCTGTCAGAGCAGGAACAACTTAATGGGCCTTATTGGACTATGTAGGAATAAACTGAATTCATATTCAGTATTTATGCATGTGTTATGTGTCTATATCATGCTATATATACTTTGCCACCGAGGACACTAGAGTTGGCCGAATGCTTACAGTCAGTCTATATGTTTCAGACTTCGTCTACAGTGCTACATCGGGTGTCTTTGAATGGGGTGGTGGATCAACGTCGACCTACACAAACTGGGACGTCAACCAAGGCGGCAGCAACGTCGCCAGTGGCAGATGTGCACGGACAAAGCCAAATAACCTTATGTGGAAAAACAAGCTATGCGCGGAGAAATCCTGGGCCCTGTGTAAAGCCCCTGCAGGGCCATAGACTGAACCTGGTCAATAACAACTTGAAACACGCAGTAAAACAACATGTATATGTTACAGTAAATATGTAAAATCAATTAAAACGTATATTTACTGGGGTTATTTTCAATGATTATGTATATTTACTGATTCCGTCAGGGATTATGTATAACACACATGTTCTGGAATTTTCTGGCATACCACAGAACACCTTTCCCCTCAACATTGATTCTAAACGGCAACTCTGAACCGAAATAAAAGTCATTTTAAATCTAGTGTCAAAGACAACACAACGGATTCCGATCTGTTGTCACTGTGACTCTGTGTCCACTCCATGTCATCATGTATATAGTCAACTGTAGTTCGAGACAAACGTCCTATTGATGCATATACTGACAACCTACTAATCGAGTTATTACTCGATGTGTTAGAGAAGTTTGATTACTCTACGACAGGTGTAGATTTAATGCCGCTTTGTTCAGTTTTGTGTTGGAGGCACGCCTTCAAAACGGCAGCCACTTCCTAGAAACCTATGAACATGGATGTGGTGCAGACATTTCAAGGTTCTGGGATTCGAACCCACGATTCTATCACAGCTAATGGAGAACAATATTAATGCATCTGAGGCAGTTGCACACCAAGTAATGATAAGTTACTTTGACAGTGACATGGATTTCCAACTTCAGGAAAAATAGATGAAACGACAAGAATTTATGCATGACAGCTTGTTTCGTTGTTGTGTTTCCCATTCACACACACGTAAATTTATTTATTTATTTATTTTTAAAAATGCAGTAATATTCAAAACAATTGATCCAAACCTTTGAACATGAAAAATATCATTTCCGTTAATGATTGAACATCATGGAGATAGACAATAAAACCAAACACGGAACAGGTCTGTTGGAATCGGACGTGTTGGAGACATGGGGATATTGACATGCCGCAGTACTGAGGGACGGGCAGTGTTCAACCAGGCTGTTTCCGTACTTGTCAGTGTGACATTGGGGTTGTACCGACGTTTCTCGCTATCTGAGGACCACGTGCATCAGGACACATGACACAGCCAACACAGCATGGAGACACAGATGTGTCCCAGAGTCTGCAACATTAAACACTGGCATCAACACCTTAAAACCGTAACTAATCAAAAATAGAAAAAATAGATATAGCTAAAGAAAAGAAAAATAACATTAGAAACGGGCGGATGTCTCTCGAAAGCTCTTAAGAAAATAATCTTAATAAAACCAATAATCTAAGTTGTTTTCAAGTCTTAGGATCGTACATGAGATAGTTGGCAAGAAGACAAAGTATATTTCAGGATTCACTTCCTGTGTACGCTCCCGTGAGCCGCTTACAATAAGCATAACCTGTTTTGAGTGACGTGTATTAAATGGAAAAAGTATATGTCTATGTAAACGACTGTTCAATAATCACCAAGTAGCAGAAAAATCCTGTAAGTAATAATTGTAAAACTATTGTTATGATAACCTTTAAAATCAAGTCGGATATGGCCTTGCAGATTCTTAATGCCTTGTGTTGAGATGCGAACTCCGCCATGATCAGTTGCTAATGCTGTCAAGTGTTTAGTCGTAAAGGCTTGAGTAGATGTAGATGTCGCTGGTGATGTTGCGGTTTTCGTCGTAGTTGCGGTGGCTAAAATCAAGACACACCAACATTCTTAAACATACACATTGAACGAAATCGGGAACCAATAGACAAGAAAATTGGTTATATTCATGTTATTCAGAACCAGCTGACATTACCCTTTAATGTGAAGGACGTAATTTAATCAACCGCATAAATTATGCTAATTTAATTCATGAGAAGGTCAATGGAAATGTTTTACATATAAAAGTTTATCTTTTAAGAGGTTTTGTCATACACTGGCGACAAACACAGTATGGTAACTGACAACGTTCAACTACAGGGCAGCACAGCCATGTGGAAGTTGCTGCACGTAGCGCGAGATTTCCTAATCATGGGGTCAAATCCATGATTTGATCCCTTGTAATATTTGGTATCAATAAATTAATGAACACTCACGCCCGATTACATTTTGAAATTTCATATTTTCATGTTTCCAACCATGCTAACCCCGGGTTATGTCACAGTGAATGTATGCTTGCCAAAGCTGCAACTTCTTCTTCAGGAGGACAACCGTGTCAAAGTTCAAAGTTAGCGATGCGCATTAAGATAAAAGTGAAAATGGCATTGTAACATTGAACACAAACAGTATCACTGACATCTACATCAGATAGCACTATACAATACCACATTCGGACTGCTTGGAGCTGATGAGGGACAGGACCATCTGGGACGCCGCAGCATCACACACGCCAGACACCGTCGACTGCAAGCACCTCTCATACACAGGCACAGCTCTGTGGTCACACACAGGAAAAAGCAAACACATTTTAAAGAAATTCTCCAAAGAAAGTGGCTTCACAGTGTATGCAATGTTGATCATTAGAATAAGAAAACATCCAGTTTGAATTAAGTCAATGAAAGCATCCTCAAAACTATACATTCATAAAATCATTTTTACTGTGAAAGTGTAATCGTAGTGAAATATTACATATTTCTTATCATTTCCGAATCGAATTCATGTTGAAATAGTTTATGGATTTGAGAGAATCGTGAGAATACGCGAGAGGGCCTCTCGCCCCGCCAGCCTCCACGGCAACAGTCAGCAACATCTTCCATCTCCGACCATATATTCCTGTTGCAGTATATAACATTGCATGTTTAACCATTGCATGGGTGTGTGAATCAACGACGTTAAAAGACTCTCCACCTTAAAGCGGGTAACTTAAATACTAGTTAATAATTACTTACACACATGGGTTTGAAGTATCAGTGATGCCGTCCGCTTCGTAACAGGCTATGTAGCGGGGGATGCATGTGGGAGCTGTACAAGGAGGGGGTGTACACATCAAGGTACAGATAACTAATCTTAACTGTATCACTTCAACATTCAAAGTATTTAAGTCACGAAAAAGCTCAATAGTCCTTGGTGTCCTTCACTGATATTTACGATGCCGCACGTGTCCATGTTCTTGTTATAAACGTTATTCTATAAACTGTTAGGTGTTACACGACATTATCTAATGCTTCCATGTACAACATGTACTCGTCTATCTACGCTATGTGTTTTAGCAGTGGATACAACTAACCTGCAATATCCGTCAGCTAATTATGAATACAATACCCTGCACCATCTATCTCGTGATGTGAGTGAGTATGGGTTTACTCAGCTTTTAGCAATATTCCGGCAACATCAGCACGAGCAACATCAAACATGGGCTTTACCCCTCTTGCCCATGTAGGGAATCGAACCCGGGTCTTCGGCGTGACGAGCAAACGCTTTAACCTCTAGGCTACCCCATCGCCCCCTCTCGTGATGCGAATGTTCAGACGTCTGAAGTTGAGTGTATACTAGTTTCTCATTACGAATGCACACTCCATAATGTTAGGCGACAGATGATTTTATACTATGTTTTTATCAGACGTAACAAGTATTTACTAACATCAGGGTAACAGTTAAGAACCCTTGATACTCCCATAACACAGACTGGACCTACCTGATAACAGAACCCTTGGCGTGGTAGCTGAAACAGAAAGCCGCTAGTGTGGAGATCCTACTGCAGATGTCATCTGTTTAAACATGAGGTGCTGACAAGTCAATGATCGGAGCGATTCTCTTATTCTAAACCACGATTGGCTACGTAACACAAAACTGTACAACGTCTTAAGTTACTGGGGAAACCGTGCACTCTTAATCAAGATATACAGTCGGCAGAATGCATAAATGTAACAACCGTATAATTGTAGCAATCGTATAAATGTAACAATCGTATAAATGTAACAATCGTATAATATAAGAATCGCAATAAATGTAACAATCGTATGAATGTAACAATCGTATAATATAAGAATCGCAATAAATGTAACAATCATATAAATGCAATGACCGTGACCATTGATTACAATCATCAAGTACAATATAAGATCTACAGTATATAAATTGTCACATACTGTACTAATGCTAAATATCGAAGCATTTGGAAGGGAGACACACCATTATGTGTAAGGTTTATATATGTGGGTATATGTTTAGCACGACCCCTACTCACCAAAGTAGCATCCTTGTTCTGTAGCAAGCCTCTGTTTCTCCATGTTAATGAAGTTGGTGGCGTTTTGTAGATTTTGTTCAGAACAAAACGCTGACAGACCGCCAGTGCAGATCTTGTAGAAGTCCACCAAACTTGTATGTGATGGTAACAAAAACACACTCAACTATACAAAACCTGGTGCTGCATAATGCAATTAGGTGTACATACACTGGCATTTCCTGATATAAACTGCAGGTAGCTGTTCTTGTAACATGCAACACATGAATGTGATTATTCTTCAATTTCCGTCAAGAGATAGGAGACTGTTATGTTGACGAACGTTACAGTGTTTGAGGGCGAGACATTCAAATATTGACACCAATTACCTGTTCTTCATGTTCTTACCCACAAGTGGTGGTCGTAGCTTTAGACCTGCAGTCATCAAACAGTTTGGTACATTGGAAGGCTGTAAGATAAGTACAGAACATTACCAACTTCACCCACAACCAATATCCAATGCACCGTTTAAACTAATTTACATAAGTGCATATTGTGTCCCATTAGTATCACCATTATTCATATTACAAATATGTACCGTAAAGTCATAAAGCAGTAATTCGATTTAATTTCAAGTTGTATCCATTGACCGATACACGAAGGTACCCCGTTGTACCTGCTACATATCTCCCCGTCAACCCGGAGTTGTAGAGCTTAGCACCCCTGTATATACACAGCAGGCCACAGGGTGTAGACAGAACATTACCCTCTGAACCGTTTCAATAGTAAATCCTATAACCTGCACATTGGTGTATTTACTGGATAATAAAGTAGTCCACAAAAGCTAGACTGATTACACAACTGCCCGTTAAACCATTGCCTAGAAGTGGTTCAAGGTATATCATTGGGCTCACCAGCATAATCCGGACTTTGAGCTATGCTACCTGAAACGAAATAGTCTATCAGTTATCATTTACAATATTGTATGTATTTCACGACGTATAAGCGTAAAAGCAGGTGTGACCATTGCGTAAATCCGCGTACTATGTGTAAACAATTATATTTCCATAAACCCAACATTTTATTGAATTTGTATAAATACATACACAACAATAGTAACTTCACGGACTGCATATTCAATCAAATAAAAAACGTCAGATATCCATGG